ACACACACACACACACACATGTACATATATCCCCAGCATAGATGCACACCAGCACAGGTAACAACCTTATTTCCGATCCTTTTGTCACTCTGGTCTCATTACCACTCATGGGCTGCGTGAGTCTAACGCCGTGAAAACCTTTTATACCCCCGTTCGTTTCAACTGGATCGGTCTTCTGCCCTGGAAGTCGAGTAAACTGTCCTTGCTGTGTGTCAATAAATTGACTTATCATGTCCCTACACTGGCCTGAGGCAAGGTCCTGTCAGCCGGTCAGCTCCGACAGAAGAATGTGTGCGTGTTGGCAAGCCATGGCGAACCTTGGAGCGAATTGACGCAAAGGAGAGGAAAGATGAGGAAGTGTTGAAAAATTGGTTTAACCGCCGTTTGGAGCCCCTCCTTTTTTAGCCGAAGAAGTCATGCCCAAATCCTACAAACTCTTGCCCGAATTGGGTCGTCAGCAAATACCATGTCTCCTGTCACCACACCCCAGTGGACCGAGGAGCCTGAGTCTCTGGGGTGCAGACCTAACGGCTGTAACAATGGTGAAGAAGAGCCCGAGTCGTCTGGCCGGCAGGGTGGGCGGGGCAGAGTTAGTTCGTAGGCGGGCCGGTCTTTTTCGACGAAGGACCGGCTTGACAGCTCGAGACAGCAGCAGTCTAACATGGCAACTGATCGCAACCAACCAATAGCCCATTTGAGCATGACCACTTTCCTAATTTTTCACTGAATCCGCCTACCAAGACAGGGCTCGAACGCCCCCCTACCCTCGGGCCTGCCTCGTAGGTGTGTACAGTTCAAGGGGCAGATGATGTTGATAGTTTGGGCTTGCCGACAAGGCAGTGTGTCTCAGGTGGGCCCCGACTAGGCTGGGTCCATTTTCACCCGACGTCAGGTGTGAAAGTCACCTCACGAGAGTGGAGGCCTTGTGGATTTGCCGAGGGAAATACGAGTCTGAGATGTATTCATCCTATTTCCTTTAAGGTGATGAAGGGTCATTTGGTAGTAGTCTAGAGACTCTATTTGCATACGAAAAATAAGAAATTGAAATTCATTCAACTGAAGCAATCCTGTGTGGAGGATGAGTGTCCGAGACGAGCCAGTTGCAGTGGTTGTGCTATGCGCTCAGTAGAAATGATAGACCAATAAACTAATAACTCATCACCATGGGAAAATTGACAAACAATACTACACTTGAGAGACTCCAATGCTCCAATACCTTTATTCATTAGGGTTGTTTTCACCTGTTCGTATAGGCTGGCGTTATTAAAAGCACATATTTTGATGACGTGATCAGGAAATGGATAAAATAAACATGCTTTTTGATGGCAATAAAATACGCAAACAACCCCAATGCAACTGCGACTGTCTGGGGCTGCGGCTGGAGCAAACCTTTGTCCTTCACCGTCCATGTCTCGCCAGCACCC